ACACGCGTTACACATAGAAGAATGACCTCAATTACAAAAGACTTTTCAAATGCTGCAACTTCTACATGACTCTTAAAAGACCTCCAAATTTTTAGTGACATTCTATCCCAACCCAAAATAAAAAAAACCTTAACTGTACCGTTTGAAATTTTATAGATGTATCAAATAAACACAGTGCTTTTATTTATAACTTTAAAATAATGTATGTAATAAAATATTTATGTTTGCATTCCACAGATTAAGAAATTTTTGTTTGTTTCTTTTGTTTTAATCGGTTATGTCAAATACATATACACGGACTATTTTCCAAAAGATGCCTTCATGGTTGACGTTTTAAGGGCAAAATCTTTGCACAAAAATTTAAAAAAATTCATCGCATTTTCAATGCATTTCAATGCAATGAGAGATATCAAGCTTAGTACCGCTACAAAATTATTAAAAGCTTTGCAATATATATTACTGTATGTACAATTTAAAAAATAAAATGATAAAAGCTAGCATGTATAAGTATATCGGAAGTAAGATAAGTTAAATGCAATGAGCAGATTAAAAAGAGGGCATTTTGTTTGAGGAGATGTCCAGTAGTTTTAAAATGCTTAATAACGTAATTGAATATTTTTAAAAAGAGCGTTTTGAAACATCTGAAGCTTTTACAGTATGAATTAATTAAATAAATGGAATTTCTCACAATCAATTTGAAACACAATTAAACTGTAAAATATTTTGAGGACTCTGTATAATTTCTGAAAATGCACCTCAAAGTTATAAAATAAATATATTACTTTAAAAGTACTGCGATTTTGAAGTTTTCGAAACTATAGTCTGCAATTAATTTTCTCTCTCTATCTTTCTTTCTTTTTTTAAAAAAATTTTAAGATCTCAAACTGAAAAGAAGATTTTCTTTGAAGTTATTTTCTAACTAAATTAAAGCAAATTATTAATAAAATGATTGCAACTGAAAATATAGTTAATAAATAACACTGCCTCTATAGATGTAATCCACATTTAAAATATGGCTTCGTGTCTGTCTAAGTTTCAGTAAAACTTGACATATTATACTTAAAGTTATTCATTTAGATGAAATCGCTAACGTAGAGAAAACTGCAACACCCGTTTGGGTGCTTTATTATAATTATTAATTAGACATGATTAATTATTATTAATTAGTGTATTATCACCTATGATTATATGGATTAAAACGAATAATTAATGATTTATAATAAAGAGTAATTAATATCATAATAGGAATAGGCAAGAAAGGAGAAAATTCTTTGCATTCTTCCTCACTTAAAATGCAACTTGGAAATGAGGCGGGGGGGGGCTCAATCGCTAAATCCAGGAGGTGACGAATTACCGTCCTGCACCACGTGTAATATCATTCGATTTTTTTAGAACAGGATACATGAAGAATGAGTGATGCCTTCGCCGGGATTCGAACTTCTTACATCCCAGCTGCTAGTCGAACGTGCTTCCAGTTGCACCATAAAGAAGAAAATTCTTCACAATTTGCAGAATAGGAAATTGCAAACCTAATGTAGAATGACTTGAGAAACATACAGATATCACAGAAAATGTATTTAAAATATCAGAGATAAAGTATTTCTTACAGAAATTCTCACAGACATATTTCCTTGCATTCGTTCTGATTGAAAAATGTTTTACTTAAGATCAACTCATTCTTCCCCTTTCGTATATTTTAATTTTTCTCGCAGGTACTTTAAAAGCTGATTTTATAAAAAGAAAGGGGGGATTCCCTCTTTACTGGCAAGAAAAACTCTATGTTTATTTATAAAAAAATTGCTATTTTTCTTTACATGCATTTTAAAAACAAATATATGACAGTATTCCTGTTAGTACGTATGTACGTACAAAAATCAAGAACATTACTTAATTTATTTCAGTGAGTACAAAATGCAGTTAGCTGCGCAATGTTGGTGAGCATAAAAAAAAAACCTCTTCTCTCCCCTTCCCCTCTAAAAAGCTTTTTTAAAGCACATTGTTTAAATTTATTATTCACAAACTTGTACATAATATGCATTAATGTCATGCTATCATGCATATGTGACCGGAAGTGTGCACTCAGCATTTATTTAAATTGAATAAATCAAATCTCTTAGAAGAGTTTTCCAATAATGTCAGGGTAACAGCAATAAAAAAATTCGTTGTAAGTAGCACTATATATTATGCTTTTTCATGCCCAATTTCTTCCTTGTCTTCATTATTTAGCATGTACACCTTTTTCTGGTTATAATGTTAAGTTCTTAGTAAACATTAATGTAAAAGTCTTTATAACGTATAAAAATTGTAAATTTAATTAATATAATAATAATAATTTATTATTATATAATTGCAATAAAACGAGTATAAAATAAGATAATAAAACCTTGAAAACATAATAATAATATAATATATAATAATTAATTAATTGAGAGAATTTATATTTTACCCAAAAACTGCTATCAATAATTTCAAAGCTTGTCGTGATATTGTCTTTCTACTAAAACTAAAATATATTCATAAGTATATGAATATATGAGACACTCGTTGTTTAAAAATAAGTGAAAAAAATCTGAAAGCTTTCAGACTTTATATTGTGCCCAAAAGGGCGTTTTTTTAATGTTTTGTATCTTATCTTTATTTATTAAATATTATATTCTTCGCCTTTAAATCATAAAATTCAATTCAAGGGCAATATCACAAAATAATTTAAAAAAAGCATACCTTTAGAATTTCCGATACACAGTCTCTCGCGCTGGGGATAATTTTTTTTTTTTTTTTTTTTTTTTTTTTTTTTTGTACAGTGTTGCCATTTTTCGCTTTGAAATCATTGAGTTTCTTAATAAAAAAATCGTTAAAGTTTTACAAAATATGAAATAGATAATAAAAGTGCGAGAAACATACATACATCCATGCAGATTCTTCATTATTTAATTTCTTTAAATGTAAGGAAGGGCTCTAATATTTGGTGGCAACAATTTGAAAAGTGAAATGCCGTTTCTAGCGAACCAACGCAAAATGACCAAACGAATTAACAGCCCTTCTGGGCAAATTGACCCTTTAGGCTAATAATTTATTTATTTATTTATTTTTGTTTTGTTTTTGTTTTTGTAGAAAGAAGCCATATGTACACATTTTTATTACAAATTTATTTAATTATATTACAATAAAATATAATGAAATTTTTTCGCATCAATAACGATATTAATGTTTGTGCGGACATAAAGATTTCCCAAACAGATTACAACTACGGTTTGGTTAAAAAACGGTTTAGTTAGGGTTTGGTTAAAAAAAAACCGTAATTTTAAGGTGTTATTTTTTGGAATAATGCATGTGTAACAATAAATGCTGCATTCTGTTGATGGTATGCATAGCATATTATATGTAAATGAAATACAAATGAAAGATTCTTTTTGAAAATATAATATTTTACACTATGTTTTGCAAGTATGATAGTATAGTCAGAGACAATATATTTACATTCGCAATACAGGTATATTTCGTTTTATTTCCTTTATTAGGTACTGATTATTTTTTAAATAATGAAAAGTTTATACCACCCCAAAAATGCTAAAAAAATCTGAAAGCTTTCTGATTTTACATTAAGCCCAAAGTTAACACACAACAAAACGAATAAAGGGAACACACAAAACATTAAAAAACCGTTTTGTGTGTTCCCTTTATTCGTTTTTTATTCCCTTTATTCGTTTTTTGAACGTTTTGTGTGTTCCCTTTATTTATTAAATATTATGTTTCTCGCATTTAAATTCACTTCAACAGCAAAATCGCAAAGTAATTTAAACTGAGCATATTTTTAGAATTTCCGATACACAGTCTCGCTCGCTGGAGATAAAAATGTTTTTTCCCCCGTACAGTGTCACCATTGCTCGCTTTGAAATCGTTGAGTTTGTTAATCAAAAATTTGTTAAAATTTTACAAAATATGAAATAGATAATACAAATTCCAAATTTAAGCCTTCAGATGCCCATATTCGGATGGAAACGTACGTTATTCAAAATTGGATGGCTCTGGGTACCGTCGTTTCATCACAGTGCGAGAAACATACATACATTTATGCAGATTCCTCATTATTTAATTTTTTTAAATATAATAAAGGCTGTAATATTTTGTGGCAATAGTTTGAAAAGTGAACCGAGATTTAAAGGTTTCAACGCAAAATGCCAAAACGAAAGTAATACCCTTCTAAACTAAAAAAAAGAAAAAAAAAAAAAAAAAGGAAAGAAAACATTAGATAAGCTATTTTGCCTGTTGCATTTATTAGTTGGTGTTTTTGTGTTACATTTAAAATAATTTTCACAATATTTAGATTTTTTTTCATTATTACTGTTTTGAAATAAGGTTAAATATTGAGAGTAATCTAAATTCTCTGTGACAAAACTATATCTATTATATAATTTTTTTAAATTATGAAATTTAATTTTATAAATAATTCTATACATTCCCTGCCCCTGCATTTAGTTTCTTAATATGTTAATTCTAGCAATATATCAAAATTTTTGAGTAATATTAGACAGAAACTAAGCTATCGGTTACTGCTCAACCAAGAAAAATTTCACATGTCACCCGCGAATCAAAAACTAGATGTGATCAATCACATACAAGGAAGTTATTTCAAACATCTCACACGTAGAAGAACTAACCTTCTCGCGTCAAGCAGCTAGTTAAGGTGTAAATTTGATATTCTAAAAAATTATTATACAAAAATTATAACGGTTAACATAGAGAACACATAATTGATAATGAAACAGCAAAATATTTATTCATTTAAATAAACTTCAGTATGCATAGTGTAAGCATAATCTTTTATATGTGGTGGAAAAGAAAAGAGTGATTCATTTTATTGCGGTGTCTGAAGTTAGAGCGCAGTACATAAAAAAATCACTCAAATAGTTTTAAATCTATTTTCTTTTCGATAACGCAAATAAAATTGAGCGTTGAGCTAGAATTATTAATAAATAGGACAAATGAATGAATGAGCTTACCTTTTGTATCACCAATGGGGCACCAATATCGGCTCCTCCGGTCATCCGGAATCCCCAAGGAGTACACTGTCCATCTCTAATTAACTCTAAAGGCACCTGTTGATAAGCCATAGCTGCTCAGAGGATCATTGGAGAAACAGCGGCTCGTGCAAATGAATGTGCGGATCTTCAGTTTCTGCCGAAGCGAAGGTCAGGCTGCCAGCAAACAGAACCCAATTCGTTGCTTTGCGTTTCCTCCAAGACAATATACAAGGAGAAAGAGAAGACGCTTTATAAATAGTAGTCGTAACCAGAGTTTCCAGCAAGCTTTTACTTTGGTTCTTTATGGGGTGTTGTTGTTTTCCACAGTTTGTTTCGTTATTTTCTTTATCTCGCTCTCTTGTATTTCTTTAAAGTTTCGTACCACTGTCTTGCATCTGTTTGTCACGTTATGTTAAAAGCTTGCTGGGAAAATCTTAGGTGCTTGCTTGTCGTAAAGTCAAATTTCTAATTTGTGTTTTTATTGAGGAAAGGATTAATCTGACATTTTCCAAATTCTGTTGATTTAAATTCACATTATTACCTAACGGAGACTGGTGCAATGCTTGTCTAAAATAAAACCTGGAAATAAGAATAAAAATATATTTCAATCCATTGTTTTTTATTCAATCAAATGCATTCGAATATGGGAAAAGATATGTTTTTTTAGCTTAAATATCATTACTTTATTAATATTTATAAAACAATTACTCTCATTAAATTATATCAGAAATACAAATAGAGATAAGACGAACCCTATGTTTTCTCGAATCAATCTTCTAAAAGTTTCTTGAACTTCAGAAAACTTTGGAATTTGGGATTCCTGGAATTTTTCGCATAAAAACAAGAAAAAAAACTTTTACTAAATATATAAAATTCTAAATTAAAAGAGGCTTCGAAATATACATTTAAAGTAAAACGAATTTAAAAACATAGTTTTTAAAAATATCTGTATTTATTAAGAAGGTATGAAATTTGGAAAAAGAAATACAGTGCAACTCGAATTATCCAAACTCTGACTATCCGAATTACTTTCAGAATTCAACCACAAAATTAAGAATAAAAAATTAAGAGTGTGGCCACATGCAACTTTAAAAATAGCTATATTTATTAAGAAGATATGAAATTTGGAAAACGAAGTACAGCACAACTCTGACTATCCGAATCAATTTTTAGAATTTAAGCAAAAAATTAAGAATAAAAAAAATTAAGAGGGTGGCCACATGCAACTTCTCATTGTCAAGCGGATGTGCGACTTGACTGCCCGAAAACGGATGAAGAAGTTAAACAGCTTTCTTTGACCGAGATGTTCAGCAAGCAATGACTTTCAACTCTTGTACAGTACGCTATATAACATGTACGTAAAAGTGTTGCCTTTTCATTTTAAATAATTAAAACCACTTTTTATTTTAAAATAGTTTTTTTTTCTTCCAATTTCAACGTACATTAATTAATTAAAGTGTACATAGACCCTTTCTTTGGAAAAAATCCTATTATCCGAATTTTTAATTATCTGAATGGGGTCCGGTACCTGTTATTTCAGATAATTGGAGTTCTGCTGTATTAAAACTCTTGAATATTCAAGCTTATTTTGTCAAATAAGCCTCTCAGAAGGGAAAGTGGTTAGTTACTCTGACAGCCGAAGGGCCTGGGTTCGAATCCCGGAGAAGGCATGGATGGAAATCATCTGCCCCTTAGGAGGCAATGGTGGCCCACCTGTTAGGTACCCCCATAATAAAGTGACCACCATTTCCGACCAATACCTATAGTAGCTAATAGCCGCCACTGGGAAAAGAATTATCAAATAATGTAATAAAATACATTTAAGTAAAAATTAAAATTTTTTGTATTTTTCCAAGCAAATTTTAAGTCAAAATAATTATAGAAGAGAAAGAAAGAGTAATTTCAAAAGCTATCACAGAACACTCAACATGGAAAATCTCTTTAGAAATAAGACTGTAGGCGTTAGAACCGCGTTGCTGTAGTACTAATGATCTAGGTCAACTGAAATTTTAATAATTCGCTATTTTTATGATTGCTTCGAAGCTAATTAAACAAATCTTTACAAAAATTTGCGTTAAAACGGTTCACAGGATTTTAAAGTGCGTATGTGAAGATTTGAGTTCTAGAGTCCATTTTAAAAATGCATGGTATTTTAGAATTTAAATAATAATTCCATCCCTAAATAATAATTATTTCATATTAATTAAAGGCAAGGACTATTATCTTCATTACGATTAACATTCAATTTTTTACTGTCTTATGATAAATGAAATACAGACATGCAAATTGCTGAATTAAAAAAGTTTAGGTATTTTCATAATGCATGAATTCAGTACCACACTCCTCACATTATTTACTTGATCGTTTATCAGAGCTAACTGAATATTTTTCATTTCAAAATATACTGAATAAGTCTCTGTCCTTAAAGAAATAAAGTTTTTTGCCCTATTTCGTCAATTTGTTTTCGTAATATAAATGGAAACAAGCAATATGAAAAAAAAAATAAATAAAATAATAAATAAATAAAAAAAAAATAAATAAATTCCTACTTAGGTCAACAAAGAAAAATTATATTTTTGAATTCATAAACTCTCGCTCTTGCATTATGAAGACAGCATATCTTTAGTTCCGATAAACAGGAATAAATAAGTAGGAATTGACTTTAATATGTGAAAAAACTGTATTAACATCAAGTGTCTTCCACTACAAGTTTAAAAAAATGTATTCGAACTTGAGTGGAGGAATAAAGAGTCTTTTATTAACGACTGAAAATTTGAACAAGGTATAGAGAGAGTGTGAGCTAATAGTAGGAATTTAATAAAAAAAATACATAAGAAACACAAAAATCCTGCCACACCATCTATATTAATTCAAATTAAGCAAAGCAACACAAAATTATAAGATAAGGCTTTAAGATATTTTTTGAAAGACCTGAAATGGAATTAAAATCATTAACTAAAATTTATTAAGGAATGATACTTTTCTAACCGGTGCATTGTTTAAAACAAAACTATTTTAAAAACAGATTTCCCCCGTTTCAAATTCCTAATCTTGGTGATATTTTCTTAATTTTTTGGGAGGAAACGTGGGACGGAGGGACAATAAAGGTAATTTAATAAATATCCTATCATTTTTAAATTTCTATTAGTCCTTTCGCTCAGCTACAGATTTTAAATTTGTTCACTGCTGAAACCAAATCTTTTCAATCCCATTTCTCTTGGCATTCCTTAACATGCAATAAATTTAATTTTAGCGTTACATTGTAATAGAAAACATTTTCAGGTCTACTTTCTTCTTTTGCTAAGCTCTATCATTCTACTTTCATTCTTTGAGCATTTAATGATTATTCTTCATAATTTTCTTATACTCAGGAACTCAGTTATAGCAGAACGCATTTTATCCGATTTTAAGTTGTTCGAAACTCCATTTTCAAGGTTAAACAACGAATTAAAACGATTAGCAAACTCTTTTAAATCTAGCAAAAAATATTCTATCTTATATAAAAAAGGAAAACAGTAATGAAACTCAACAATTGAATGTAATTAATGCCAGAAATAAAAATTAAATGAATGGAAAGATATTGGAAGAAACCAAAACTGTTATAAAATTGAGATTAATTACTAAATGTAGATGGAAATGATTCTGGATACCTGATTCCATATGGTGATGAGACCGTTTTCTTAATAGCACAAGAAACCGAAGAATATTGGTTAATGATTCAGACTTATTTGCTTTTAGAGACTTAAAAATAGCCATGAAGTGGCCAGAACTACAGGATAATTCTATCAGCTCAACTTCTGTGCCTAAAAATTAGGAATTCAGAAAAATGTGGAAAAATTTTTAAAAACTAGTAATAAAAATGTAATTAATTCTATGTACACGCTTACAGCATAAAAAGCGATGCATCAAGGAATTATCCGAATGAAACAAAAATCGGTAGATATGACACACATGCACTGAAAATGAAACTCTAACCCTTATCTTAAGAACTGAATGTTTAGTTCCATTTGGCGAGTTAGATCTGCACGATCTAGGAGCGGTCAAAAATGCCTGCTAATCAGAGCCCAAAGGGAAGAGATCTGGCGATCACGCCAGCTAGGGAAGTGTTGCAGAAGCACGAACTCAAGCAGTAACATTATCCTGTTGAACCGTAAGTCCAGGGATCCGAGAAAGGAAGTGCAACACTACAGCACGTAGAATCTCATAATGCTGTGATGTAAGGGTACCGCGGATGACAACCAAAGGGGTCCGACTATTAAATGAAATGCCCCCCCATACCCTCCTGTCTGTCGGGCTGCATGACAGACGACAATCACGTGCATAATCCCCGCCACTATCCCGGATGTCTTCAGACACGTCTTTGCTAGTCATCAGGGCTCATTTCGAAGCGGGACTCATTGCTGAAAACAATTCTACTCCAATCCGTGAGATCCCGAATAGAATTAGCCCGGTACCATTGCAAACGTGCCTGGCGGTGTGGAACGTAAGGGGCAGGGCTTCCGTGTTTATAGTCTCAGCCCGATTTTAGTCGCCTATCAATGGTCATTGCAGGCATTAGTGTCTCGGTTACGCATCTGACCGTCGATAAGGATGCATAAAAGGCTATGAGCATCGATCGGTGGATCATTCTGTCCTTGAGTACTGACGTTCCTTTCAGTCGACCGCTATTTCCTTGATGCTCTGTTTGGTTATTTCTGGCGTAAGGTATGGGCCCATGATTCACGCATTATCATCAACATTGTCTAATGGTAGCATCGCTCCGACCCAAGTGTCTAGCGATCCTGCGATTTGACCAACCTGCTTCCCTTTAGTCCAAATGCACGTCCATCTCTCAAATGGTGGCACCTGCTAATACTGTTCGCGAACTCGTCTGGAGGCAATGGTACAGTCCACGTGGATCGGCGGAATCACATTCGTATGGGAGATTTGCTTTAGCATTGAAATATCCTCTATTTTATGCACCATCCGGATGCTCCCTTGCAATGCGCTGGAGCTCCTGCTAATCAGTCATTGGCTGTCAAAAGTTAATAATTTGCATATTATATTGTAAGGTATGGGCGTAGAAAATTTCATTCTGTTCGAGTGACTCCTTGGTGCGTCGCGTTTTATTTTGTAAAGAGTATTTTAGAGACATTAGGTTATTTCGAGGCCGGAGAGAGGAAAAATGAGCAATGTCTTCGCCGAGAATCGAACCACGGACATCTGAAATACACCCCAGCGTGAAGACCACCAACTACAAAGGCACGCTAAGAAGGCGGGAGAAATACTTTATATACTCCTTCTTTTGAAGGGCGACTGAGGTTTTTTAGGGGACCCAATCGCCAAATCCTGGGCGTGGAGATTCATCATCCAACACCCTTTTAGTTAGGACGCCACTGTAGAGTCATTAGGTTTGTTTCGGAAGGAGAGATGAAAAATTAGCAACGCCTTCGCCGAGAATCGAACCGAGGACCTCTGGAATACGCGCCCAGTGTGCAGACCACCGCACCACGAAGGCATGCCAAAAAGGTGGGAGAAATACCTTATATGCTCCTCCTTTTTATTATTGAAGAATTATTATTATATTGTTTTTTCATATGGCTTAAAATACATCGGTCCAACTAAGAAAGCTCTAATATTTAGTGTTAAAGGAAACAAATCTTAGAGTAAGAAAGGGTTTAATAAAATCTTTACTGTTATCAGTTGTAGACCGTTTGACTACTTTTAGTGTTTTCTCCTACTGAAATTATCCAAAGCGTTTCCTTCAGTTAGTATGCTAGAGTTCCTGAAGGTACTTAATTTCATCAGCACCTCTCAGCATGATTATAA